GCATGAATTGAAACTCAAACGATCGAGAAAAATCCGAAACAAAGCTGAAACATTGTAAAAACAGCATCTAAAACCTTCTTTTTACGCATGTAAACAAGCGTAATCAGCCCCCTCGCCCAAAGGCGGGACGTCCGCCGCCTCGGTCTGGGCGTCCACCGCCTCGGTCTGATCCCTGGGGCGCTTCTCCCTCGAGGGACCCCCAGAAGACTCCAGCTCGATCACCGGGGCTGGATCTTCCGAGGCAGGCCCTACCACGGCAGGGGTGGGAGGTTTCGAACTCTGGGCAGCCTCAAGAGCATGGGCTCGGCCCTTAGACTTGCGCTTCACGCCGCTTGCAAATCTGCAAACCATGGCTACAAGATAAAAACAAGGGTCAACACAAGGTTAGAGGAAAAAGGGGGAAGGCAAGTTCGGCATACCAAGTTYAGAGTTCGGCCTWGAGRATTCRATGGGACGAACTGCAGGGTTGTAATCTAGCAGCCCGGACTCAAGCAGCARTTCGTCAGTCACCAGGGTTCCGACCTTCCTACCCCTCGGAAAGCGCTCCTTGTAGTATTTCAGAGTATCGAAGGAGGCCTGCGTAAGCTCGGGGACTGGTCGGATTGAAACTGCACGAAGACAAAATCCGAGTTAGACCTGAATGACAGRAGAAAATTACGAAAAGTAAGATCTACTCCGTACCTAGGTTCCCAAACCTAGTGGGGACGTCAAAGAAGGAACGACCTGACTCGTCCTTTGCGAGCCATTCCCCCGAAGCGTAGAACCACTTCCTCACCCATCCCTTGATGGAGGTCGGCCCCTTAACTATACCGCCTGCGCCTTTCCTTGCGCACATATAGAACCGACCAGGCTTCTTAGCTATCCTTTTCGCCTCGAAGCACGCGAGGAGCTGGTCTACGTCCAACAGCTCGGCCTCCTCACTATCCCGAGCTCGWAGCCAAAAGAGGATGGCCAAAGCGAAAATGACACCCCACCCATTGGGGGCCACTTGAGCCGGAGCCAACCCAGTCCGGAAGAGAAATTCTTGGACAAAAGGGTGAAGGGGAAGTCTGAGGCCGTACTCAAACATTTTGAAGTAGAGAGTGACCCATCCCTCTGGAGGATGGTCAGCTCTCTCCCCCTCCTCCGAAAGCCTTAGGAGGATGTTCTCAGGGATAGCGAACCCCCTACGAAGGGATCCGAGGTAGTGTTCAGGTATCCTAGAAGGGTATTCCAAACCCTGACCTGAAGTGGAGGCATCGCTATCCTCCCCGTCATCGTAGATTCTAAAGTGTTCTATCTCCTCGAGCTCGGACTCTAACCTACGAGCTAA